CTGGGACAGGAAGCAAAAAATGCTGCAAGTGGATCACTAGGAGTAATAGTGATCTTTGGGAGCAAAATTAAAATAAGACACTGTCTTATTCTCGGGGAAACAGGGTAGCATTCCAAGAAAGGGGGAAAGGGCAGAAATGGATGGTATTTTCTATGGGTTTTTATGACTTTCACCATCTTGTATTGCCCAAGGCAATAAAGGACTACCTAGCTCAAGGGAAGGAGATGTGTTCCACAACTTTTCAAATACTTACTTGCCATTTGTATATCTTCTTTGTTGAAAAATTTGTTTATCCATCATTTTTTTCTTATTGAGCTTTGTATGTTCTTTATATAAGTCCTTTATCAATATGTAGGTTGTTTGCAAGGAACCCTGGTAAGTTTACATATTGAGTTGATAATTACTAGGTTTACAGTTCAAACCTGCATGCTGCTCCTTGAAAGAAAGATGAGGCTTTCTGCTCCTGTAAAGATTTACTGCCTAGAAACCCAGAGTGGCAGTTCTAGTCTTCCCTACAGAGGTACTATGAGATGGGATCAACTTGATGGAAGTGAGTTTGTGGATTTGTTTTTTTGTTTTATGTGGTTTCTAAGTATGTCTCCCAGTCTGCTGCTTGACTTTTACCCTCCTAGCATTCTCTTTGAAAGGACAGAAATTCTTAATTTTGATGAAAACCAATGTCTCAAAATTTACTTTGTGGCGTTTGCTTTTGTGTCATATATAAGAAATCTTTGCCCGACTTAAGTTTGCAACAATTTCCCCTACAAGTTTAATAGTTCTACATTTTACATGTGTGTGTATAACTCATTTTTAATTAATATTTGTATCAAAAATGTTTCTTTTTTTCATGTCTTGCCTAAGGATATATAATTATTTCAGCACTATTTCTTTCACAAATTGTCCATTCTACATTGAATTACCTTTGCATTTTTATAAAAAATCAAGTGAGAAAAGGAAGTATGGGCCATATTTTTAGATTCTTTTCTTTTCTCCTTATTCTAACTGTTCATTGTTTCTGCATAGTTTTGTAGTAGATCTGAGAATCAAGTCAGTAGGTGACCTCTGACTCTGTTCTTTGGTTTGGCTCTCCTAATTCCATTGCTTCTAGATAGAAATTTTAGAATTAGCTTTTGGTTTCTACCCAAATTTAAAAAAAAACAAAAAACCACCTGAGTATGTTTTTCATGTATGTGTATGTATGTATGCATATATATTATATATTGCTGGAATTTTGTTTGAAATTTTATTGAATCCATAGAGCAATTTAACAATAATGAGTCTTTTGTGTGAACAACTCTTAGAGTACATTGTAAAGTGGGTCATTGCAGATGTAGTTAGGTTAAAATGTAACGCCTTCGAATATGATAGTGGGGCAGGAGGAAAGTAAAAGGAAATAGAGGAAAGAACTAGGAGGCAAAAGGCATTTATAGAGATATAAATATAGGCATATATATATATGTAAATATACTTGTATATAACAATAAGCGTATAGGTCTATGTACATATATTTATATGTTAAGTATCAAAGTGGCAGACAGACAATGGGCCTCTATTCAAGTGCTCACCTTTCCTGAAATGATCTCTGAAGTCAAAATGGATGCAAAAGCAATTGTGGTGAAGAAAGCTGATGCCCGGCTATTAGCAGTTATAGCATCTGGTGTCGTAAAAGCTTGAAGTTAAACAAGCGGCCATCTAGCAGGAAAGCAACAAAGCCTACATAGAAGAAGCACACCACCCAAGTGATCATGAAGTGTTGACGGGATCAGGTATCGGGCATCAGAAGACCCTAAAACAATCATATAGATGTGAAAGATGAGGTTCAGAGTAGAGACGCAAAGCCCATCTGTAGACAGTTGGACATCCCTTCACAGAAGGGTCACAAGGAAGGGTTGAGCCAGCCAGGTTGCAGCATAGCACCAACAAAACACACAGCATTCCTCTAAGTCTTTAATGCTCCATCTCCCCCACTATCATAACCCCAGTTCTACCTTACAAATCAGGCTAGACCAGAGCATGTACACTGGTACAAATAAGAGCTCTCAAGACAGGGAATCCAGGACAGATAAACCCCTCAGGAACAATAATGGGGTAGCAATACCATGATGATAGGGAGAAGGGGGAGGAAGAGGGAACCAACCGCTATGATTGACATATATAACCTACCACACCCCCCCCAAGGGGACAAACCCCCACCCCCACCACCCGCCTTCATTAATTGACTCGCACCTCCAGTTTAATTTTGAATAACAGTGATGAAAGCTAATCTCTTACCTGTTCTGATCTTAGGGGTGGGCGGATTCATCATTAAGTAAATTAGCTGTATTTTTTTTGTAAATTCCTTGAAGAAAATTACTTTCTTTTCTAGTTTGCTGATGATTTTTATCATGGATACGTATGCGTTTTGTATTTTTTTTGTAGTTAATGAAATGTTTATGATTTTTCCTCTTTTGTTTGCTGATATAGTCAATTACCTCAATAAATATTTGAAAATTGATTTAACCTTGCATTCTTTGGCATAGACCCCACTTGCCCATGAACTATTATCCTTGTCATATATTGTTGGACTTGATTTGCTTATTATAATTTTGTTCAGGATTTTTGCATCTGTATATTTTGTTTTGTTTTGTGTCCATATATTTTAAGGATAGTGGTCTATAATTGTATTTTCCTTTAATGTATCTTTATTTGGTTTGGGAGTTATGACATTTAATTAAATGAGCTAGGAAGTGTTCCCTTTTATAATAGTTTTGAGAAAACGTATAGAATTAATATTTTTTCCATCATTGTTTGATAGGAATTCTAATGAAGCCGTCTCAGCCTGGAGACTTCTGTTTTAGAAGATAAGGTTTTTAACTGAAAATTCAATTGTCAAAGTAAATAATAATGTAAATTACGTATTTATTTTTTAGATAAACTTTGGCAGTTTGTATGTTTTGAAAGGATTTTACTATCTTACATGAATCATTTTATTCATATTATCCTATTCCCCTTTTTTTTGGTTCCATGACTGTAGGGTCTATAATGTCCCCTCTTGCTTTTCCTGATATTTATCATTTTTATCTTTTTTTTCCCTCAGTCATCTGGTTAAAAGTTTACAAACAATAGACATTATAAGTATCTTTTTTTTTTTTTCAGTCATCTGGTTAAAAGTTTACCAACAATAGACATTATAAGTAATCATTATGTTTCATACACCTTTAAAAAGCTTTTATGAGTCATTTCCTTTGAATATCCAAGAATTTATAAGATCCTTTCTATTGTTGCACCTCTGACAGATGAATACACTGAGATTGGAGGAGCCCTGGTGGTATACACATTGAGGTGCTAATTGCAAGACCAGTAGTTCAAAACCTCTTTCTACTTGCCACTCCTATAAAGAGTGACTGTTTAGGAAACTCACGTGGGGGCAGTTCTGTCCTCTTGTGTAAGGTTGCTATGAGTTGATATCAACTCAATGGCAGTGTGCTTGTTTTTTGTTTTTTGATGATACTAGGAGACTTGCTGACATACACTCTTAGAGCCGGAATGGTAATACAGGATTCGAACCCAAGTCTGGTTGACTCCAAAAACTTTGTTTGACCACTTTGGTGTATTAACTGGTGTAATGGGCACATCAAAATCACCAAACCACAGGAAGGGCGTCCTTCCCTCATACTGTGACTGGAAACAAAGTTTTGCTTTTCATCCTAGGGCTAGCATACGATTCTCTGTCTTTGGATCCTTCTGTGTAGTCTCAGCACGTAGTACAGAACTTCTTGTTATAAGGTCTCCAGAGGCCTTTCTGCTCCTAACGTAGGTCAATTACCTAGGGTTGATATCAAAGAAAGACAAAAAGTAGGGGAGCTTCTGGTTGCTACAAAACACACCTTAAATTTTTCAAAATATAGGAGCTTCCTGTAACTAGAAACCTAAGGCAGTTATTCTGATACTATCTATTCTTGGTAGACAGGAAATAGAAACCTTGACTCTATGCCCTTTTCTTTAAAATGTAGACACATATATTCTCTTCATGGATATAAAAATAGCTTTTGAAAATAAAAATGGGCATAACCTGCTTGTTTCCTCAGGCCTGACAGTAACTGCTGTAAAGGACTCTGGAGAGTGGAATTTGGAGGCTGGAGCATTAGTACTTGCAGATTCTGGTCTTTGCTGTATCGACGAGTTCAATAGCCTCAAGGAGCATGATAGAACCAGTATCCATGAAGCAATGGAGCAACAAACCATAAGTGTTGCAAAAGCTGGGTGAGCGCTTCTTTGTTCTTTAAATCTCTGAGAATCGTGAGTTTCTTTCATATATGATAGGAGAAAATGTGAACCTTAAGTGCCATATATACTCGAGTAGAAGCCGACCTGAATATATTTGGTCCATTCAGAGTTAGCAGCTATCGTTCTTCAAGATACACATTGATATTGTTTTTCTTATTAAACTGTGGAGATGTCTGGAGAAATAAAAATGGAGTAATCATGAAGGATTTACAATGCAGGATTCAAATCCTTTTTTTTTTCCATTCAGTAATTATTGTATGTATGCTACTATTGTATGTATGCATATACTCCTATGTTAAGAATTTTTTTTAATTCAAAAAGGAAAAAAAATCATGCTTTCCCTTTTTAATGATTATCTGTTTATACAGCCTAGTGAAACCCTGGTCACAGCGTATGAAAACTAAATAACAGTACATATTTGCGTAAATTGAAGCGTACCTGTGTGAGTCAGCAGGATTGATGACTCAGGATTGATATATGTGAGTCACTGGCTATTCCAATGGGATAACAAAAGATGCCAGATGCACTCACGCAGCCCCTTGAGGTGGTTAGGAGAAATGCGCATGGCTGCAGAGTGTGGCCAACAAGCACTTGACTAGATCGTAACACAGAGGAAAGGGGCAGGACTGTGTCTGCTCCGATGCTATTGTTGTAGATGTGCCAAGCTTACTGATTCAGATGGGGAGGCTGCCAGCTGGGACTTCAGACAGTAGTGGGCACTTGGGAGCCAGATAAACACTGGTATATTCTATGATGGGATATAATTGTACACACTATCATTTCTGCTAGCAAAATTGGAATCGGGAAAGGGAGAAAATGATAGAGCACATAGGAGAATGATACAAGAAGTAGACAAAGCTAGTATCCAACTTATTCCAAGTGCCGCGGCTGGGATTGCAGTTTATACGTGTACACATTTATTCCAAGCAAAACAGGTTTAAGCATGCCTGTGCCATCAGGAAGGAGCCCAGGTAGCATATTGGTTTATGCAGTGAGCTGCTTGCTCTCCACAAGATCAGTGGTTTGAACCCACCAGTCACTGTGGGAGAAAGATAAAGCTGTGTGCTCCCGTGAAGATGGGGCTGTGTGCTCCTCTAAAGGAACCCGAAGGGGCAGTTCTGCTCTACTCTGTAGAGTCAACGTGAGTGGGATTCAACTCACTGACAGTGAAATGAATACAATCAGTGGATGGCTGCAGGCAAGTTCTCGCAGGAAAAGATTTGCCTCAGTCTCATTAGGGTGCCTTCAAAAGCAAAGGTGGTTTTCTGCTCAGTGTATCCATTTGACCATGGATTAGGCAAATGTATAGCCTTGTTAACATGTAGAATGCATTGGAAAGTGGATTTTTGCAAATGCAGTTCAGTTAAAGTTTAACACCCTGTCATTTGATCTCCTTTATGATCCATTTAAATTTGTTCTAATTTTTAATATTCTCTGCCTTCTTTTAATTGAGGTTTTTCTGTTTTGCTTTGTTATTTTTGCTAGGGTTTTTTAATTATTTTTTTCTGTATGTAAAATCCAGGCTAGGTAAATCTATAGAGACACTAACTATTATTTGTACCTTGCGTATGGCATGGGAGGTTGAGGGGAAATGGGGAATTACTAACAATGAATACAAGAATGAAGAAAATCGAACTCTTCTTAAGAAGATTGAACTATTGAATTGTATGTGGATTATTGATTGTGGATTAATTGTGGATTTTGAATTAATTGATATGTGGATTATATGCCAATAAAACTGTTGTTGGGGGGGGCGGGCAACAACCAAAAACAGTGGCTTCCAAGGGCTGTCTCTTGGGCCAGTTAAATTCAAAGCACAAATGGCAGCTCAGAAGGTTAAGTCAATTGTTTGTTTGTTTTTTGATACTGCAAAGGGCTAACCTGCAGAGGAATTTCTCAAAGAACACATGACAACTACAGTGGCTTATTATGCAACATTTTAAGAAAATGGAAAACTGAATTGTTGAGAAAAAGGCCAGGAAAGTTGTGCAGAGGAATTGTCTTCTGTTGCGTCCCAGCCTGCGGGATGCACGAGCAAGGCCCTGCAGGGAAAGACGAACCTGGATGGAGAAAAAAAGACACGGGGACGTGGAGCAAGACAAAACTCTGATCAAGCTCCTTTTATTTGGGCAAAGCTGGGGTATAAAAAAGGGGGAACTGGGAGGTGCATATTTTAATAAGGTGTGACACAACATCCAATCCAACAAGTATATTAATGAAGCATAAGAACGTTAACCAATCAGCTG